TATACATACATATTAATAAACCACAACTGGTGGTGCAGATCCCAAAGGTGTAGAAAGCAAAAAATTAAAATATGACAAATAAAATACAGAATTTTAATATACAAGCAACAATATAGAGCAAAGACTTTAGTAATTTATTTTTTATTAAGAATAAAAGCAAAGAAACAAACAAAAAAAAGTGCACAGGAACCTGAGGAATCCACAACACAAGATTAACACAGATGAAAAGAAACAAATTGAACTAAAACCCAAAGATCTTAACACTATCGGTGGACTCGCGGTACCAGAGTAGTTCATGTCCTCTTATAGTCTGTGTGTGAATCCTTTCAGGTTCTGATTGACTTGTCAAACACAGCCCAGCTGGACAACACTCCTCGCTGGCTGCCTTTAAGAGAGCAGAGTGAGAGCATCGAACACAGCAGAGCTCACCTTGCGACCCAAGCACCACCGGGTTCTGGAACTGGTCAGGGGCAAGGCCAGGGCTACTTGTCTGGGTCTGGACTGGGGCATGGAATGGGCCCAGGTCAAGCACCAGGTCAGGGAGATGAGAGTCATGATTCACCTAAAAACTCTGTGATTAAGAGCAGAAGCCACGGGATTTTCCCCGATCCAGGAAAAGGTAAAATGTTTATTCCACTCAACTCGTCTTAAGTTTCTTTAATTTCTCTCGGCTTTCTTTGTTGGTGGATTCTTTGAACCTCAAGGCTGACATAAGTACACTTAGCAGGTTTCCATAATCCTCTTTTACACAGATAATCCAATGAAACTGTCATGACAAATGTTGGATGGTTAAAACAGGACTGCTACAAAACTAGATACATTAATTACTCTTGACCCAGTCTGGGCTGTTTACACATACAGCTTTTCACTGCAAATCTTTGATTTTCTTTTAGACGTGCAAATTTTGCCTTTGGAAAAGTCACACAGCAGTCCTGGCAGCTCCAAATCTTCATCCGATGGCCAGCTGCGCTCCCACGGCCCATCTCGGAGTCAAAGCAAGAGCAGCGTCACTCAGGCCCACCTTGAGGATGCTGGGATAGCCATTGCTGCCGCCGAGGCTGCCGTGCAACAATCCCGCCTGCAACCAAGTAAATCCTTCCCCTACCCATGACATGCTTCCTGTGACATGCCTGCTTGACCCCAGTGCATGCAAGTTCTGTTGCTGTTTAAAACCTAAACTGGAAGGGCATTGAGCTCATTTGAAGCTTCCTTTTAAATTTTGCCCATAAAATGATTTTTATCTTCTATTCTAATTAATATTGTCCAAATTAGACCTACTGTAAGCAAATTCAAGCAGTAAGGTGAGACATATAAAAAGGTCAAAATTTACCGCTAATTATTTTCTTTAGGTATTTTAACATTGTTTGTTTAAAATATGGCCCAACCAGTGTTTAAAGCATTGTCAGTTTTCAATAGATGTTGTTTATATATAAGGATATATTTATTTATTTATATATATATATATATATATATATATATATATATATATATATATTGAAATAGCACGTAAAGTGGTGGATGATTGTGAAGTTACTAACGCAGCTAAAGAACAAAGCAAAAGTAAAAATTAATTATAAAACGGAATAGCTTAAATTAATATTATATTCTCCCAAAGTACTGGCCCGAACCCGGCTGTTTCTGCAAGATGTCTGCATGTGAAAATCCTCAGCACGTGGTTTCTACAGAAAACCAAAATGGAAACCAATGGCTTTTCTTTTCAAGTTGTGTGTTTTACTACATTAATACAATAAAACCTTATTCGTTAATATTCCTGCATAACCCTTAGTGTGATTTCCTTTAAATGAAAACAATTTTCAATGCTTAACTGCGATAGGATGATGGAGCTATTCAAGCATGCAGTAACACTTCCTTACTCCTGCCCACGGAGTACTGAGTACTTCAGTACTGCTGTTTAAATGCATGTGCTGTTTGAATGAAGCCCTTCCCCCGTTTCCCCCTGACAAAACATATATTAAAAAAGTCACAAGACTCACACACGCAGAGGTACACACCAGTATGGCCCATAGTCTTCCCACCCTTCCCAGTCCTTTCTCATTCCTGCTGCCTTAAGCAAAAAAGACACAAAGGTGAAACTGACTGAGTCAAACAAGGAAACACCCAAGAGGTTTCAAAAGTCAACCAGAGTCTCACTCTGCACTCCAATGATCCAATGAGGACAATGAGAGTAAAGCTTTCGGCTAGCCATGAGAGGAGCAGAACTATAAAGGGAAGGTGAGACAACATAGGACAAATGTATTCCGTAAATGCATTCATATAGTATTACTAACAAATCCTGCACTTTGTATTTAAAGTGGCATAAAGGAATCCTTAAGCACAGTTGAGCAAAATAAGTCAAAGAGACAACTATGCTAATTTTGTAAGAAAAAAATTCAGCTGTTTTGCATTCAGTAATTTCCATGTAGGCCTAGATCTGTAAATATCTGACAGTGTTTTTTTTATTTCCCAATTCTTATAATTTACTTCAGGGTTGTTGTTAATAGTTGTATTCCTCACATTTTTTTTACAGTGTGTGTATGTATATGTATGTGTGTATATACATACATACATACATACATACATACATGCATACATACATACATACATATGTATATGTAAATATATATATATATATATATATATATATATATATATATATATACATATATGTGTGTGGTTTGAGCTAAAAAAATAAAATCAGAAAATAATTTTCTATCTATCTATAAATCTATCGATATATATCTATAGATAGATACGCTGCCTGGCCAAAAAATAAGTCGCCACCTGGATTTACGTACGCAAATAGGTACGAGCCTCCTATTGGATAATTACTGCATGGACCATTATCTTTCAGCTGGCAGCAAGTTATTTAACCCCAGCTGGTGCAATGAGCGGCTTCTCATTTCTTAAATAACACATCGCGTGGTCGTGGAAAAGATGTCAGTCTGTTTGAGAAGTGTCAAATCATTGGCATCAAGCAGAGAAAACATCTAAGGAGATTGCAGAAACGACTTAAATTGGGTTAAGAACTGTCCAACGCATAATTAAAAACTAGAAGGATAGTGGGGACCCATCGTCTTTGATGAAGAAATGTGGCTGGAAAATATCCTGAATGATCGTGATCAGCGATCATTTAAACGTTTGGTGAAATCAAATCAAAGAAAAACAACAGTAGCACTCAGGGCTATGTTTAATAGTGAAAGTAAGAGCATTTACACACACAATGTGAAGGGAACTCAAGGGACTGGGACTGAACAGCTGTGTAGCCTGAAGAAAACCACTAATCAGTGAGGCTAACCGAAAAAAAAGGCTTCAATTTGCCAGACAGCGTAAAGATTGGACTCTGGAGCAATGGAAGAAGGTCATGTGGTCTGAGTCCAGATTTACCCTGTTCCAGAGTGATGGACGCATCAGGGTAAGAAGAGAGGCAGGTGAAGTGATGCACCCATCATGCCTATAGTGCCTAGTCATCAATGCAAGAGCGTGGTGAAAAATTAATGCATCACTGGATAATAGATCTTGTGACATTGCAGAAACTTATCGAAACAATGCTACAGTGAATGCATGATGTAATCAAAGCTAAAGCAGTCCAGCGAAATATTAGTGTGTGACCTTTTTTAATTTTTTTTTATTTTTTTGGTGGCAACTTTTGTTTTGGCCAAGCAGTGTAGATATCTATCTACATCTAAAGTTATCTATCTATCTATCTATCTATCTATCTATCTATCTATCTATCTAT